GAAAGAATAGCCCTCAGTGTGTGGAATGGCATTGGAGGGAGGCCTCCCAGCAATATTTCACAATGACCCTTTTTCTCATTTACTATGACACTAACTACATCAGTGGACAGGCACTGGGCTACAGAATGTGTATGGAGAGGGTTAATCATCCAGCCCATGTCAAGTCATTGATAGTATGTTTTCCTGAAGCCTACTGACTACTTTCTCCTTAGTATATCTCCCAATGGGAGCAGATGACCTATTTTTAAATCTTTTTGATATATTTGGGAATTTTAGGAAACCAATTTGTCTAAGATCACTCAAAATTTTCTGATACAGCATATTCAGTGACTACTGGGTATGGTAGATGTTTGTCAAGCTCTGAGCCTGCCCAGGCCTTTTCAACACCCTTCTTACATTTGAGGACTTCTCTAAGTTATGACTCTTGATTTCCTGGGCTTGCTGTCCCCGCATCCCTTGCAGCTAGGGTACGAGCATGTGGCTCAGGCTCTAGCAAGCAGCTGCAGGATGTCAGTTTGGGAGCAAATACCACAAAGAAGGAGGTGCTGTGAAGAATTCCTTCTAGCAAGGATGCTGACAGAATCCATCTGTCAAAGGTAGCTTTGGCATGTCCTGGCTATAAAATCCTGTGCCTAGCACCATGTGTGTGGGCAGAGATGCCTAAGCCCAGTGACCATACCACTAGCATTTCCACTAGTGGAGTTTAATGGTATAACTTAGACATGACTCTTTGATAGGTATCCTCTGAACCTGATTCTCTGGCTCTCCTGAAGACCCTGAAAAAGACTAAATATTCTTCAATAAACTCCCTTTCTGCTTAAACTAGCTCGAATGGGTTCTATTTGCAAATCTGACTAATAAAATGAGGTTGTTCTCTATCTCGTGGCTTCCATTTTTTTCCATTTTAACTGCTTTTCAATGCCCTTCTTTCCCAGTCTTCCCAATTCATACATTATAATGAAACCATGAAACACAAGAGATTATGCAGATCATTAGGGCCCAATATTAAAGACAACATAATGTAAGGAATCCTAAGTATTTACATTTAGGGTAGGCTCACCCTCAGTCTTCAAATTCTTTACATAATTACACAATAATAAGAGGCTGCAAACTTGATAAATCCTAACTAGAAAAATGAATATTTGGCAGGTGGAGGTCTTTTAGTAAAGAGGCATCTTCCCAGGACAGCTCCCTAAAATCTGGTTGTGAGGCTCAGGTCAGTCCTATGTGAGGCCAGACCCAGCCTTGCATAAAGGCTAAAATTTTTATCCATCAGACCATCCTTGGCTCACTTTGGCCTGTGGCTCTGTCTTTTCCTCCTGCAAAACTCCATCATCTCCAGATAAACACAGATGTTTGGCTCTCAATGATAGACTTCTCCATTCTGTAATCATTGTTTTATGTATGGATTTTATACCTCTGATTAAAGAGTTAATCCCAGATGGGCAAGAACCACATATTGTGTTTCTTTTGCATTTCTCACAGCACTGAGCAGACTGTCAAAACATTGTAAGGGTTTGTTTAATAAATATTAGCTGATTTATTTCTCTCCTGGGGCTGTGGAGTCTAAATTAAATGGATGTCTCATCAGTCTTCAACGAGAGAAAGAGAGAAAGAGATCTTAGAATCAATAAATAATAAACTCCAGGCATGAATTTTGGAGCCAGAAAAAATGAAGATACAGGTCTTGGCCTTGTGTGAGTAACCCACTTTAGTTTGTCATGTATACATTGGGGGCTAAAACCATACTGACTCTAACCACCTCACAAGATTGGGAACTTTGTAAAAGACAATGTGCACTTAAAGTATCTTGTGATTATTACCTGGTCCACATGAAATGGGACCAGAGAAGAAAGTGGAGGAGACTCTAAAAATTACTGTGTGGAGAAGGGATCAGAGCTGATATAACCTGTTGAGTTTGGTCCTACCTTCCTGGGTCCAACAGGTTTTGTAGGACTGGACTATTGGTTTTCCAAGTATATTAAGGAGCAGGAATCCTCCTCTTTATCAACCACTCCTAACCAAAGCCATCAATTCTACCTCATACTTTAAAATATCTAAACCCATAGCCCAATGCCCAGTCTCACCCTCCTCTGGGTTCAGGTCCAAGTCCTCTCCTACATCTTTGGCTGCTTCCTGCCTCTGGTCTCTGACCTTTTCTTCCCATCCAAGTGGAGGCATTTCTTGCTCCATTAAAGCAAAGCTGATCACCTCATTCCTCGAAGTTCTGTTGCATATCTAGATCTATATATCAATGGTGTTTCTGTATCTAAAGGGGGAAGTCCAGTTAAGAGGGTAGATGGAGGAGGAAAATATTTGAGAAATAATATGTAAAATGATAAACTCTCTCTGTATTATAAAACAGACTGTAAAACATGGTCATCTCTAAGATTTCCTCTATTCATTAATCAAACAAGTATATATTGCAAGCCTACCCTGTGACAGACACCATCCTAGGCACTGCAGATATTAGGAGACAACATAGAAACAGATCCTGCCTTCTTGTAGCTCATAGTCTAGTTGGAAGAGAAAGAATAGACAGAAAATCAATAGGCAGTCACTCAGGGCCATGTGATAGTGACTTGGGGGACTACTTGAGATAAACTGGTCCAGGGAAAGTCCTCTGAGGAGGTGATACTTAAGCTGAACCTCAGTGAGGAGGAAGAGTGAGCTGGACACAGAACTGGAGAATAATATTTCAGACAGGAGGAAAAAGGAAGAGTAAAGGCCTGCGGGTGAGAAAGAGTTTGGCATTTTTTGAGGAAAACATGACAGTGGGAATGCCAAGCAGAGTGTTAGAAAAGTAGTACAGGGTGTGGTGAAGAGGGAGGCAGGAGCAATTTCTATGTAAAGACTTAGTGGTCCTTGTCAGTGGTTTAAATTTTCTTCTAAGATTAGAAGCCATTAAGAGGCTTTGAGCCAGGGAGAGACATAGAATGGTTTATATATTAAATGGGTCACTTTGGCTCCTGAGTGAAGGAGGGACTGTTGGTGTGAGAGTAGAGGTAGGCATGAATGGATGCAAGGGGCAAGGTAGGGCAGTGTGGTACTGCTTCTGGCTGAGTTGTTGCTGGCTTTCCTAGGAGGTGTCCAAGGATATGGAGAAAAGTGGTCAATTGTAGGATCTATTTTGTGGGTCAAACTGACTGCCTGCTGATGGAATGACTACATATGAGGGTGAGCAGCAGGAAGGAATCAAGGATGACTTAGGGTGGATGGTGATGCCCGTTGCTGAGAAAACTGGGAAAAGAATAGATAGATTTGGGAAGAAAGGTTGCATTCAACTTTGGACATGTTAAGTGTGAGGTGGTAGACACTTCAGTGGAGATGGCAAATGGCAGCTGGAGAAATTTGTTTGGAGCTCTGGGGGAAGTCCTCACTGTAGATTTACAAGTGTGAGTCATTAGCATGTAGATGATATAACAGTTAAGGGGCTGAAAGGGATTACTAGGGAGAGAGTATAACTAGATCAGAGAAGAGGGTGGAGCACAGCCCTCCATACCAGCAGGAAAAAAAATGGGCTGAGTTTCCTGGAGCGTGAGGTTAGAGCGAAAGCAGAAGGGTGGAGCTTCCAGGCTCGGACAGAGGAAGGTGTGTCTGGATGGAGAGAGCAGTCAGCTGCATCCCTGAGAGGTGGAGGAAGACAATGGCAGAAAAGTGATGAGAACACAGGATTTGGGAGCATGTAAGTCATTATGATGACTATGACAAAAGCAGGTTGGGACCCAAACTGTACTGGACTACAGAGAAGGAGGGGTGAGAAAATATAGCTGGCTAAGGTACAGAGCTTTCAAGCAGTTTTGCTGAGGCTGTATCATGGATACATTTGCTTTTCCTGTTTGTATATTCTTATTTTCCAACAATGGCTATTTATTACTTCTATAATATGTACATTGCAGATAGCACTCCACTTATGAGAAAAGGAGAAATTCCTAGTAGAACATGGCAGACCTTCATCTTCCATCCACTGCAACCTCTCCAATTCCAGGCTTGCCATTCTTCATAAGCACCAATGTTTTGTCTGCTGCACTCATTATTTCATTCTTAACAGCTTTCACCATATATAAAAATTTGGGGCCTGTTGCCAGGCACTAGTTGTAGCTGGAGCTACCACTACTCTCAGCATTTGTAAGCTACTCCACCCTTCCCAACACATGCCCAAGATCATTCAGTTACCCACTTACCACCCACCCAGCTTCATCTCCATCAGTCTCACAGCTGCAGACAAAGCTCATTTCCTCCTGCCTTCCACTTTCCCGGCCGGTAGAGCGGCAGGATGGGGTAACCGGGAAAAGATTAGGGGCTCAAAGTCAAAGACAGACGCACACAGGTTCCTTCCTCCATCTGCCGCTTATTATCAGTGTGACCTTGGGGAAGTCTATCTCTCAACGTCCCTGTGCCTCAGTTTCCTCACCTATAAACGAGGTTAATAAAAGCCACATTCCTTCAGTTTCGCGAAGCCTGGCATTAAGTGAGCAGCCGCTGCGGTGGCTCCCTTTGCATCAACGTTGCAAAGATAGTTGAGCCATAATAGGTAGAACTAAGATGCTTCAGAAATGTGACCCGCCAGTGGGGCCCCTCACATGACGGCGAGACGTCAGACAGTATCTCTCTCCCGCACAGGGTGTGTGCTGGTCCGGTGACCCGTCTTTCCAGTCGCCCCACACACCCGGTCTGTAATCACGCGCCCTCCCCCCACCCCCCACCCATAGCTGAGCCTGACGCGGCGGCGGCTCGGGCGCCTTTCCTCCCTAGCCTTTCGCCACGGACCACACGTCGCATCCTTGCTTCCCCGCCCCGCCCCTAGCCCCGGGCGCGCCCCTCTGGCTCGCGGGTTAGGGTGTCGAAGCGGCCGCGCCCACGGGCCGTGCACACTGATTTGCGGAACTTCGGCGGTGGGCGGTCCGGGGACGCACACACCCTCTTCGTGCAGCCAATGGGCGTGCGCGCGTCATTGATTGGGCGGCCCTCAAGCCGGCAGCCCCTCAATAAGCCACATTGTTGCACGAAACTCTAGCGCAGGAGTCCCCGGGCGCCGCTGGCAACGACGAGTCACCAAGTCCAGAAGATCCGCGGGCGAGAGCCGTGCGCGTGTGAGCTGGAGAGGTCCGATCACCGAAGTGGAGCAGGGCTGCGATTGTACCCAAGTGGAGCCTTAGTGATTCTGTGGCTGAAGTTAGCGCCTTGACAGGGGGCAACCCGACAAATCGCCGGGAGTGTTTTTGGGAGCCTTCTAGCAGTTGTGACTCCCAAAACCTGTTTCTAGACACCAGAGACCCTTCAGCCGGGCACGCCATCGCTGTTAGACTTCTTTCTGGGCCGCTCGGACTCATTGATCCCGGTCGCGCCTCCAAACCCGAGTAAAAAGCTGCCTGACCGCTCCACCCCCCTTCCCCACACGCGCTCCAGCCTTAGTCCCCCAAATCCGTGCCGTCGGGCTGTGGCAAAATGATCGCCTCTCATCTGCTTGCCTACTTCTTCACGGAGCTCAACCATGACCAAGTGCAGAAGGTAAGTAAGCGCGGGCAGAGGTGGTTGGCTTGCCTCTGACAAACTTGCGTGGTCCCCAGCCCTCTTTCTGTGTCTCAGCCGAAAACTCCCTTTCACCCTGCAGGGCCACTCTTTTTCCCCATTCAGGGCGGAGGGCGTGGAAAAAGTCTGGGCGGCCGGGAAACTCCTGGGTCTGGGGAGCCACGTCCGCTAGGCGCGGGCAGGCTTGTGCGCGCGTGCGAGCCGCCGGGGTTCCAGCTCCGCACCGCTCTCTCCCCGAGACTGCCACCCGGCGCGCGCTCGCGCTTTTTTCCTTTTTTTCCTGGAGGGGCGGGTCACCTGGTTAGTAGTCTTAGACTGATGAGCCCACGTGGGAGTAGCCCCTCTTTAGCAGTCAGAGTTCCGGCGAGAGCACGTGGGGAGAATCGTGGCTGGGGGAAGAGGTTCTGCTGCCGCGTGGGGGCGGGGGGTGGGGAGAGGAGGTTCCCGCGCTAAAGGACAGCGTTTTGGGGAAGTGCGGTTCCCTTGCAGTTCCACAGGCCTTTCGGAGGTGGGCTTGCGGAGAGACCTACCGGGAGGGAGCTGGGAAAGAGGCAGAGAAACTCCGCCCGCCGCGCCCCCTCCCCGGAACTGAGGTGCCCGGAACTGAGGCTCCGCGAGGGGCGTACGTCTCCCCCTACCTCGGTGCCTCGGCACCGCCCCCGCCTGGGGCCCCCAGGGCCCGCCTCCAAGTGCGGGGCGGACGTGGGATGTTAGTTCTGGCACTCCTGTGAGTTTCTCGTAGGGGACCAGTTACTCCCACGCCCGCTCCTCCCGTCTCCCTTGAGATTTTTATCGTTCCGAAAAGGAGATTTTTCTGCCCTTGGCCCTGACCTGTCCGTGCCCACCTCGCTCTCAGCAGCTACTTCCCCCCACCCCCAGCTCTATCTTCGGTCGGGTCATTTACATAAGAAAGGCTCTGGCTGGGCCCGGAGCCTAGCTCTCCGTGCCTCCGGGTGTGGGGTGGGGGTGGGGCCTGGCTGGGCCCGAGGCGCTCTCTCTCAGGGTAGAAATTTCTAAAATATTCGGGATTTCAGGATTGGCCCCTGCCACGGGGTTCAGCCAGGATTTGAGGATGGGCTGGGGCGGAGGTGGGGGATGTCCAGTGCTGCGAGGCAATGACGGAGCATTGCTCAGTTACATATTGAAGTTTCTGGGAAACTTTACTTTTTGGGGAAAATGTCTGACATCGTTTGGTGGGACAACCTGCTCTTACTCCCATTTTGCGGATTCTGAGAGCAAAGGATAGAACGGTGGGGTTACCGTCTTGGTGTTTTTTAGAGCTGTGGCAGATGAACTCCCAAATAAAAGCGTGACATTTCATCACCCAGCCTCAGAGGAGGGAACAGAGGGTGGCTGGCTGAGCTGAGTTTTACTCAGCTGATCGACGGCTGTTATGGTCTCATTCTTGGGATGTAGCCCTGCTCTGCACTTTAGTTCAATTTATTTAAGAACATGTCTGTGAGCTGGCAGCATCTTGGCAACTTCTTTGGGCTTCTCCACCCAAGAAGTGAGTTAACACTTGGAAGGCTGTCATCCCTTGGCAAGTCCTAAAATACTAAGCCTTAGTATCTTGAATCTAAACTGAGGGTCTTCTCTGTTGGGTGAATACTGGCCCAAGTCGTTTTATTATTTTACAGATTCACTCTTTCCCAATCCAGAGGAAGGAGGTTAGGACGAAAATTGTGGAGTTGTGCCACCTTCCTGGCATGGAAGGGGGCCATCTCTTTGGAAAGAGAATTAGCCAGGGTATCTGGAAATGAATTCTAATCTCTGTTTTGTGGTTCTTCTTTTTTTAACCACAAGACCCTGAGTGTGTCGCTTTGCGTCTTTGGACTGCCAAGGTTTTATTTTTTAAAATAAGGATGACAGTAGCGTTGTTGTCCACATTATGGAGTTGTGATGATTAAGCGCACCAATGAGAACGTCCTTCTTGTAGACTTCTTGACCCATAGAGCTTCCTTTCTTTCTGTCAAGTGTCTGGGGGACGCTTGGGTGTATTTTCTCTAAATTACCAATGGGGGCAGAGTTGAGTCAGTCCCTTTAGCGCTTCAGGTGTCAGAACCTGGAACTTTGTCTCCTGACTTAGATGAGCCCAGCTGATTCCTGGAGCAATTACATAGGAAGTAGAAAGAGAATGAGAGAATATTTTGGAAGCATCTTTTCACGTTGCTGCTAGAAGGAGGATTTAGGAGAGAAGGAAGACACTTGTTTAATTTTAGAGTCTTTTGAAAAGGCCTTGATTTGGTTTCTTCAGAAATCCCCCATTATCTTCTGGGTTGTAGTCTGAGGCATGGAAAGCGAAGGCTTACCTGCCCAGAACTAGCCCCATCAGAGTCACTCTTGATAGAAAAGCCCAGTGTTTCCTGCTATTAAAAGGGGAGTGAGGGTTATTTGTTCATTTTTGCCAACTGACACTTTGAAACTCAAACACATTATAGCTACTGTGTACCTGAAACTGTTTTAAGCCCTTTACCCATGTTAACTCATAACATTGCCAACAATTTCATGAAGTAGATACAATTATAGTAAGTCCTCACTTAATGATAGGCTCTATGACTTTAAGTTAAATGATGTATTATATAGTTAGAGGTACAATTTGTCTCATTTGTTCAACGTGTAACCTAATACTTAGTATCCTAATGCTGTCTCTTCCCTGCTCAGAAGATAACTGATGGTAGAAGGAATATTTGGTAGCTTTTGCTAACCATTCATTTGTTTTGTATTGTCAAACTTCTATTTCAGAGAGCTCTAGGAAGCACTTTTTTTCTTTACCCTGAATGAATAAAATTCCCTCAGAGGCTCCTCAGACAAAGCCAACATTTTAAAAAAAAACATTTTTGCTTTTCAAAGTTAAACTTTTTCAGCGCTCCAAGGAGGTTGAGGGCAGTTAGGGGCCCTTTTCCAGGGGGAATCAAAACAACACAAACCACAATGGTTTTCTCGAAAAATCTGGCAGTCAGAATAAGGAGGTATAATGTACTAAGAACTAAAGAACCCCAGAAAACTGGCTTCCTTTGTTCACATACTTCTGGTTTAAAAGACAACTCTTGATAACGGGTTTCTCATTATCATTGTTGAGTTTTGAAGTCAGCAAGTTTGGTTTGTTTTCCAACACTGTGTGTTGTCTGTCTTTGCCTTTCCAGAGCAGTGGGGGTGGAGGGTGGTAGCAAATCAAATCCCAGAGTTCATTGGCTATGTCTTAATAGCACACTCCAAGGATCACGGGGCATGCTTCCTTGTATTCAAGTGGCTGTTTCTGTTAACTTCCAAAGCAAGTCTCTCTACCTCAGTGCTACTGACATTTTGGGATGCATTATCCCGTGTGAGGGCCTATCTCAGCCTATCTTAAAGAGCAAGAATTCCACTCTACCCAAATTTACAGAGGCAAAACCTGTTTTGTTTTTGTTTTTACTCTTCCTTTAGAGCATTAGTTTTCAACTGTTAGTGATCCCCCCCTTCCTCCCCCTCTCAGTGGACATTCATAAGATTTGGAGACATTTTTGGTTATCACAGGGCAGAGGGGGATGGTGATATGTTATTTCATCTAGTGAGTGGAGGCAAGGGATGCAGCTTAACACCCTGCAGTGCACAGGACAGCCCCTCCACAACAGACTTTTCTGGCCCAAAGTAGGTATAGGTTGAGAAACTGCATTAGAAGAATATGACCCAATCCCCCTCAGTTTTACAGTTGTCATACAGCCAGTTAGGACCATAGCTCTCAGTGTGCAGTGTGCCATATCATGGGACAGTCATGGTAGGAGTGACTTTTTACAAAAGATGAATTTAAGGTGAGGTCTGCAGACCCACCGCAGTCAGTGGATGTCCATTACCCCTGGCTGAAGGGTGGGTTACCTGGGTTACTATTTTTCTGTCCTCAACCCGGAGAATGTGAGTACTATAAGCACTCCAAGAAGCCAGTGGGAGAAAAGTCTTCTCAGTTGTCCCCAGGAGAGCCTCACCCTGGTGTTGCTAGGGTTTCCATGGAGGCGAGGCATCCATCAGGCTTCTGAACAGGCAGGCACGTGCGCTGGATGAACATGAGCTTGGGAGCTTCCGTAGCTGGGAGCAGAGGAGAGGGGCCACTGACACCCAGTGAGGGGCAGCCCAGCAGTCGCTGGGAGAGGCTTTGTGGTGAGGTATAAGGCCAGGTTCCCTGGGATGGAATTCTGGCTCACTCTGGAATCAGCTATGTGCACTTGGGCTGGTTAATTTAACCTCTCTAGGCATGTTTCTTCCTCTTTTAAAATAGTGTTTGGATATCGCCTTACTAGGGTTTTTGTAAAGATTAAAGAGAGAGTTAATATATGTGAAGTTCTTAGACTGTGCCTAACACATGATCAACACTTTGTGTGTTCAGTATTAGTACATGAAGAACACCCCGAGATACCCTACTGCGCTACCCATCTGGGTGGGGAGCTAAAGAGACCCTGCATCTTCTTTCCCCAGGGGCTGTTAGGGCACAGAGGTTGTGGCTCATTCTACGGTCTCTGTTTGATGTCAAATTGGAGTGAGGTTCTGACCCATTTACACTCTCTGTCTGATGTCAAATTAAAGCAGAGGACAGGGAGGGCAGAGAGAGGAAAGTTCCTAAGGCCAAGGTCTAAGGAAGCACCCTCATTGTCCCTTCAACTTCCAAAACGTCTTTATTCTGGGTGGAAGAGATCCATCTTTGAGCTGTTCCTCTAACCGCTTTCCTTCTGGTCCTCTGGGGAGCCAGCACCCCTACAGGGGGTCTCTGGGAAGCCTTGGTTATTGGTGCGCCTCAGGTTGAAGCATCCTCCTTGGGAAGCCATGAGAGACACAGCTGCACTGAAGAACCACAGCATTAGTTCAACCCCTTCTCACTGGAGAAAACTAGTCCCTTCCTCAGTACCTGCCCCAGAGGGTGAAGGACCTGCTCCCAGGGCAGTTGCGGAGGCCACTTTTGCTGGAGTTGGCCAACGAGGCACTTGGCTCATTCTTCTTCACATCTGCCCCAG